GTTGGTTTCTAATCTTCCGCAAATGATCTTCTCAGTACTTCCAGGAATCCTCAATGGGGTTGTGGCCAAGATCTTAACGGCTTCGGATTCTTCTTGTGTTGTTAGGACAATTTCTTCATTACCAAATTTAAGGATGTTCATGGAAGGATCAAAAGAGAAACGATGTTGGCCGATCAAATCCATTCCCAAAATAAAATCATCTTCTATATCGGCGACTAATGTTCTGTGCCTGAAGGTGGTAGATCCAAAAGTAAGCTCAATCATAGCTTCTCATGAACTGGTGCGGATTCGCCGGTGACTGTTCGTAGTGACAGGTTTCTAGTGAGCGGTTGGATTGCTCGAGACTTGACTAATGTTCTTCTAATTATGGAAACTTCAGCACCCGTATCAAAAGTGATGGTTTTCAATTCTCCATTGATTTGTCCTTCGAATTTTAATCCTCTATAATGACTGCCCAATTTTATGTACACAACTCTGGGGGCTTCGTCATTACTAGCCAGCATCCTCCCTTCCGTACTAGTTGGTTCCTGTTTGTTATTAGGGCTGGCGTCTCTAGACCTTGAAAAGCGTTGAAAATGATCCCCAGATGGAAAGGACATCCTTAGTCTACAATCCCATTGCATGTGTCCAAGCTTTTGGCACCGGTAGCATTTTACTCGGTTTCTCGGTGTTGCTGTTTGTCTGGAATCATTCCCCATTTTTCTATTTTCTAGTAACAGTTTCTTTATTCTCTCCATGAAATTACTCATTTTGGTTTCGAAGCTACCATCCTCTTTTGACAATTGTTTATCTTTTGGGTCTTCAATGGACACTGCTCGTACTCTGGGTCGTGAGGCACCAAAGATTGCCTCCAGTTCCAATGCTCGGACAAGGGCTTCGCTACTTTGCCTGAACTTAGACATTCTCAAGTTTTCCTGGCTTTTGGAATCTCTGATACTATCAATAAACGCAGATACTGCCATCCATTCCTGCATGTCTTCCCCAGCTGCAGGAAACGCCAAACTCACTAGCCTTTTAACTTCCGATTCGAATTCTTGTAAACTCTCGCCGGGTTTTTGAACTCTTGATTTAACTTGAGTTCTGAATACTTCTTGTCTGTAATGGTCTCCGAACCGCAATTCTAAAGTTTGACTAAGATGCTGGTAATTCTGTTGGTAGATTGAAGGAATGGACTAAAGAAGGTCTAAGGCAAGTCCTCGTAGCGCCACTATTAGTGCTGTAGATTTTCTTGGTCGTTCTATCCATTGGTGTTTGCAGCAGCTTCAAATTGTCGAATATACATGGTCCAGGATGTAGAACCGTCAAAAGTTGGTGGTTTTATCTTCATACTGGAGAATGCTCCAACACTAACTGGATTGATGGACTGTATTTCTAATTTACGCACCTTATCTTCGAGTGCTTGAACTTGGTCCTCCACTTCTTGTCTTAATTGCTGAACATCGTCTTTAACTTCTTGAACATTGTCTTTAACTTCTTGAACATCGGTTTTGACTTCAGCTTTTACTTCCTGAACGTCGTGTTTAACTTCTTGCACATCGTCTTTAACTTGTTCAATCTTCTGGTCTAGGTTAGCGACAGTTCCTTGTATGGTTTGGAATATTTTCTGCAGTCTTCCAAGGTCCTCCTGCCGTTCTTGTTGTCGCTTAGCTTCTTCTTGTTGTCGCCTAGCTTCTCCTTGTTGTCGCCTAGCTTCTTCTTGTTGTCGCCTAGCTTCTTCTTGTTTTTCTTTTTGTCGTCTGGCCTCTTCTTGTTGTCGTCTAGCTTCTTCTTCTTGTTTTTCTTTTTGTCGTCTGGCCTCTTCGTCTTGTTTCTCTTGTTGTCGTTTAGCTTCTTCCTCTTGTTTTTCTTGTTGTCGTCTGGCTTCTTCGTCCTGTTTTTCTTGTTGTCGTCTGACTTCTTCGTCTTGTTTTTCTTGTTGTCGTCTGGTCTCTTGAAGTTCCAACATTTTGCGCAGAAGTTCTTCAACTTTTTGTTCGTCCATTTTGGCTTGTTGTCTTGTGATAGGCATATACAGAATATTCTCCGTCGAATTTTCTTCAAATATCTTTTCTGGTCTTTGCTCGAAGTTCCAAACACGCCGGTGAAGTCACAAATTGGATAACTTGCTTTATTCTAGAATAGAATGCTCTGGAATTTTCTTGAAACTTCTTTTCTAGATGTCGATTGATACAGCAAACACGTCGGTAAAGTCACAATTTCAATATCTCCCTTGGTTTCCAAATAGAATGTTCTAGAATTTTCCCGAAACTCCTCGAAAAACCTCTTCTGAATGACGATTGATGTTCCGAATACGTCGGCGAAGTCACAAATTCGATATCTCCCTTAGTTTCCAAATAGAATTTTCTAGAACTCACTCGAAGATTCACTATTACAGTCAAAATCGGGTATAGAGTCACTTCCGGGTAATTCACACGATCGGTTAAGTCTCTTTTTGTGATTGTTACTGTTTGCACTGCACTAACTGTCCCAGTGTTCACTTAGTGTTCAGTTTTTACACTACACTAGTGTCCCCGCACTTCCGCAATTGGATTTCACTCTGCAGTCCTTTATATCCGACTTTTGGCACCAATGTCACGGCTTTGGATCGCCGGACAGAAATCTTCGGTTCGTTGTTCGTTTCGTTTATTCCAAAAATCAAAGTCCAATTAACACAGCAATAATTTATTCCACTCAACAATACACTCTGACACTAATTACTTTAATAACAAACTCAACAATTAAACTCTTACAACTCGCAATAATCACTATTTAAATCGTATCACAGTCAAACTGAAAACTTAACTTACAAACCAATGCCGGCCTTCTTATATATCCCTACATCTATTCCTGTAAAATCTAGAATACACACGATAATCTAATTTTCCAGATTAAAGTAGAATAATTCGCTAGATTCTAGTATTTTTTTCTTGCCATCGAGACTAAGGTTCTTGACAGCCTGGCGAACGCCACGCCACAATACTTCACGCACTAGTTCGCAAAGTATTTGTATACATCTATTTTTTCATCCATATTTCATTGGTAGTAGAAAAAAAATTGTATGCAATACGTGCGTAAAGCACCTTTTTTCACTCATGTGTCAAAATTCACATTTCTGAAAAAAGGTTCACTTTACACACTTGTTGCATAAATAACTATTTTCTACTACTGTGCGTAAAGTACTCACTTTACGTACTATTCAGAAGACGTAAAATTTCACTTCACGCACTAGTGCGTAAAGTAATTCACCTCACACACTAGTGCGTAAAGTAATGTCAATGACAGATGTCAACACTGTCAATTTGGCATTTTTCTGGTGAATTACTTCAAATTTATTTTTTTACAAATATTTGATTGGTAGTAGAAAAAAATGTGTATGCAATACGTGCGTAAAGCACCTTTTTTCACTCATGTGATTGTCGCACTCGCCTTCGGCTCGTACGTCAAAGTTCACATTCGTGGAAAAAGGTTCACTTTACACACTTGTTGCATAAATAACTATTCATTGTTTATGTTTTGACTTAATAAGTGATGTTTTGTAGATGAGTGACAAATAATACAGACTGTGAGATAGGGGCTGTTTAGTGGAGTCATTTTTTTTTGTCTGGCTGTTTGAGGGCTGAATGTGGTTACTAAGCTGATGAGAATATGAGTGATTTTAATATCTGCCCCTCGTTCAAAAATTGATTTACATAAAGATTTTTTTTCTACAAACGTCACTAAAAGTGTCATTTTTAACGGATGCTGTCAGTGTCTAAAATGCCATTTTATGACACTGGTGTTAAAAGTGATTACTTTTAGCACTAGTGCTAAAAGTAATCACTTTTAGTGCGTTTGTAGAAAAAATAGTGTATGATATTCGTGCTAAAAGTGATTTTATTTTGTTCAAAGGGATCGAACACTCCGCCTTTGGCGTCGTGTCCCAAACTTCCCTTTTCACAAAATAAAATGTCACTTTTAGCACTTATATCATAAATAACTATTTTTTTAATGATTTCAAATTTTCTAGCTTTTAAATAAAAGATTGACATTGATAAATAATTCACCCATGAAAAATAACAGATGCTTGTCAATAGCTGGAAAAGTGGGGATGGGTGTCAACCTCCAAGAGAAAAGAAAAGAACCCTCCGCGTTTACTTTTTGTCTGGCAATCGAGAGAATGAAAGGTTTTGTTGTGAAAATAACCCTGAAAAATCGCCAGACGGTAATCACAGTTCGAAATCAAGTTTTCCGGCGAAACATACTGTAGACATTTCGAACAGGGGGCAGACATTAAAACCACTTATATTCTCATCAGGTCACAAGCCACATTCATCCCTGAGAATGGCAGACAAAAAAAATGACTCCACTAAACAGGCCCTATCTCAGGGTCTAATAGTATATTGTTTTATTAGGAGTAAAAATGATAATTTTCGTGGCGAGACTACGTTTGACGTACAATTAGATTGTTGTGCTTACTGGTTTTGTGCTTGTCAAGGTTATATTTCTTTGACGTCACTTTTTTGTCCGGCCGTGAGCCTACAAAAAAGTACACTTTTGTGTTAGCTCACGTTACTGCCGGACAAAATGGTAACCAAAAAATGACTGTGAGATTAAACTTCAGCATTAAAAATTGAGGATAAAAAAGTCGTCTTTTTTGACGTTTGCGGAAGCAGGCATGAGCATACCCAAGAATCTTGACGAAAAATAAAGGTGTAGCAGATTTTTACTCGAAGCGATAACGTTAGGCGAGTTCGGTTAATCCTCCGCGGCCTTAAAACTGACACTGTTGACAGAAGCCCATTGCTTGCTGAGGATTAACCGAACTCCACTATTATTAGGCTGATGAAAATAGATATATGTCAATTGCCGAAGAGTGTATTCAACATAGTTATTTGTAAAAAGGGGCTTCCCAATAAGAAAAAATATTGCTAACCAAAATAGGAAACGATACGTTGCTGATGCAGAGCAAAATTAGTTCAACTATTACTTTGTGCAATAATTTCTCACAAGCTAGGAACAAACAAACGAAAATTATTTTCTAGAGCCTTTATAGAAGAAAAACTTGGCACCAAATACGTAGGAAATAAAACCGTAGAATTTGCAAAGTCCTACGAAGAAACCAGCCCGACAACTCCGATATTCTTTATTCTGTCGCCTGGTGTGAACCCGCTGAAAGATGTGGAAGAACTAGGCGCAAAACTGGGTTTCACTTTGGAAAAACAAAATTTCCACAACGTGTCTTTAGGGCAGGGCCAGGAAACAGTGGCGGAAAAAGCAATGGAAATAGCCGCGAAAAGTGGTCACTGGGTCGTTCTTCAAAATATCCATTTGGTGAAAAAATGGTTACCGGCTTTGGAAAAACATTTGGAGAAACACGCTGAAGGCTCTCATCCAGACTATAGAGTATTTATGAGCGCCGAACCCGCTTCAACGCCTTCGGGACATATTATACCACAGGTAAAACATATTTATTATTTTTTCAATCTATTTAATATCTAAATCGATTTTAGGGTATTCTAGAATCATCTATTAAAATTACCAATGAACCTCCGACTGGTATGCAAGCCAATCTCCACAAAGCCTTGTCAAATTTTAATCAGGAAACTTTGGAGCAATGCGGAAAAGAAGCCGAATTCAAAGTAATACTGTTCTCGCTTTGTTATTTTCACGCTGTCGTAGCGGAAAGAAGAAAATTCGGACCTCAAGGCTGGAACAAAATGTACCCGTTCAATGTAGGCGATCTAACAATAAGCGTCTTTGTTCTGTTTAATTATTTAGAGGCTAACACTAAAGTTCCTTGGGAGGATTTAAGATATCTTTTCGGAGAAATCATGTACGGAGGTCATATTACTGATGATTGGGATCGAAGATTATGTATCACTTATTTAGAGGAAATTTTACAACCCGATTTAGTTGACGGTGAATTGATGTTAGCACCAGGATTTGCAGCTCCACCGAACACCGACTATCAGGGTTATCATAATTATATCGATGAAATTTTGCCACAGGAATCGCCTTATTTGTACGGACTACACCCTAATGCAGAAATAGGTTTTTTAACCACAACTGCTGATAAATTGTTTAGGACTGTGTTTGAAATGCAACCGAGGGATGCTGGAACTTCGGGTGGGGCAACTGTTACACGCGAAGAAAAGGTGAGTACCAAAAATTGCGAATAACTTTCAAAATGTGTCCCCTCTGTCACACTCTGAGACACAAAATCACTTGTTAAGCATTCGGAGAAAGATAGAGCTAGAATAGAAAAAGGGTGATATTTGGAGTAACTTCTTTACTAATACTCTTTACTATACCAAAAAATCATTTGAACCAAGAAGTTACGCCATGGATGAACTGTTTTTTAGATGGAACAGCTATGGGAATAAATATGCGACTATTCCAAAAATCATAGAAAAAACAGAGTATTCCATTTAAAAAACAGTTCATCCATGGCGTAACTTCTTGGTTTTTGGTTCAAATGATTTTTTGGTACCATTTTTGAATTCTCCAGAAAAAAAAAAATAACCCGACGTTACCTCAATGACATTTTTGTCCCCCTATCGAAAGTGACGTTATTTAATTGCTGACAAGCTAGTGCCTGTGTGTATAAATAGTCGTAGATGCTTTGTTCGTCCCCCCAACGAATGTGAGGTTATGTGTGTGTCGTGCCCTAGTGCCTAATTGGCTATTTTGTATTTTCCCAAAAATAAAGGGAATATCAAAAATAAGCACCTGTTCAGTCTTCGTTGGATGACCCTGTAACGGAAAATGTGTGCGCCTTCTGATTTCAATTTAATTAATTAATTGACTTTAATTCAACTATTTATTTGCTCTAGGTTAGCCAATTATTTTTGATATACAGGATGTCACACAAGGCCCTTTCGGCTCGTGAGGGTTAGACCTGAGGTTAGGGTTTGCTCTTCAGGAAAACACACAACTACAACGGGAATAGTGTATATTGTCGTCCAATAGGTACATTACCAAAGGGGCACTACGTAGGTGTACCACATGACTCTTGTGCTGGGGCTCTATGTAGGAATACGGGTTCTGCACGTATAGGCAACGCTACCCTGCTGGAGGGTAAGACTCTCTGGGGTAAGGTGACCCTGAAGAGGAATGTAGCTACTGCTCCCTTGGGTAAGGTGACCCTGAGGAGAGAGTGATCCGAAGGGGTTAATGCTTCCTGGGGTAAGGAGACCCTGAGAAGAGAAAGACCCGAATGACGCCACACTGCCACGGTACAACGAACGAACAACCAGAGTGCAACATCAACAAAAAACACCGGCCTGCAAAATGACACCTAGAGGATATCATATACCCAAAGATAAGTGCTATTAAATTATTATTAAATTATATTTTAGTATAGGTAATTAAGTGTAGAGGTAGGTCAGTTTTAGCAAAACAAAGAAATACAGAATTGAATATTTTTTTTTTATTATTTTTATTTTTTATTGTTTATTTTTTTAAAATGTATATAAAAGTAATATATATATGAGTACATAATATATAAAAGAGAAAGTGAAAGGAAATGAAATATGTATAAATTTTTTTTTTGGGCTACTTACATTCCATATTTAAATACTCACCAAAGGGGTAATTAACAATTTATAGGTATATTTAGTCAATTAAGCATAACATAATAAATAAATTCACACATACAGGAGGTAAGAAATTTACTAACACTTTGATCTTATTGTTACAGGGGCCGAAACGAAAGAAAAAAAAAGAGGGGAAGAAATATTCCCGAACAAGCAGCTAGGAGCCAACAGAAGGGGTACTGAGATACCAAATTCTTTTCATATATAATGTATATATTAATTTAACTAGTACTTTTATAGAATAAGTAAGATTATTGTAAAGGTATGGTCACATGATTCTTAGCGTTGGGGGCCAACGCCTTCACAGGAGAGGCATATGTCAACTAATGGTCTATAAATAAAAACCATCCTGTATATCAAAAATAATTAAAACTAACTAGAACACGATTTATCGACAGTCAGCGGTTTAAGCAGGTCAACGCGTAAATTATGTTTACACGCCATGAATATAAAAACCCGATACAACCATGGTATCGGCATCCATTCGGGTCTTTCTCTTCTCAGGGTCTCCTTACCCCAGGAAACATTAACCCCTTCGGATCACTCTCTCCTCAGGGTCACCTTACCCAAGGGAGCAGTAGCTACATTCCTCTTCAGGGTCACCTTACCCCAGAGAGTCGTACCCTCCAGCAGGGTAGCGTTGCCTATACGTGCAGAACCCGTATTCCTACATAGAGCCCCAGCACAAGAGTCATGTGGTACACCTACGTAGTGCCCCTTTGGTAATGTGCCTATTGGACGACAATATACACTATTCCCTTTGTAGTTGTGTGTTTTCCTGAAGAGCAAACCCTAACCTCAGGTCTAACCCTCACGAGCCGAAAGGGCCTTGTGTGACAATATCGATATTTATTTTACAAAGTAAAGTTTTCACGGTTTATGTGTACGGATAGTTTTCGCTAAGATATTTATTTTTACAAAGTAAAGTTTTATAAATTGTCACGGTTTATGTGTACGGACAGTTTTCCCCAAGACATTTATTTTCACAAAGTTTAAAGTTCTATGGCTGTCACGGGTTATGTGTACGGACAGTTTCTCTGCATATATGGGTTCATGTTTTAGTGTCACGACATAGTGTTAAGTTCTATAAACTGTCACGGTCCATGTGTACGGATAGTTTTCTCTTAGATATTATTTAAACTGTCACAGTTCATGCGTACGGACAGGGATTTATTTCCACCGCCGTTGCGGTTGATTTTAACCGATTTAAGGTTACCGTATTGACCAACCAAGTAAATTCATGTCTGTATCCGAAATGTCTTACATAAAGTATGAAACGGGTACATCAGTATTCGAAACAGTTAAAACCGTTAACATCTAACCGCTAATGTATTGCATGACCGCTTCTAATTTTCGGTTGCTCACCGCTTGCTTGACCGCTTCTTATTTTCTGTTACTCGCCGCTTGCTTATAAACCACCCGTTATCATTAATCTACACGCACGCACACATACACATTTTCACTCTCTCCTTTGCACGCCCGCTTCATTCACTCTATTCACTCTGCTTAAGGAATGTTATATTTTACTATAGGAATTGCCTTATTGACATAAATTTTTTAGCAATAAATACCAGAACTTATTCGTGATTTCATGTGTCTTGTATTTGAGTTTTCTGGACGATTTACAGGAAGTATAGAAGGAATAACTTCCAGCATCTGATTCGACCCCTGATCTCCACTGTAACAAGCTACCTGGTGCAGGTGGGCCCTCAACCACAATAATCCTGAGGGTGGCGCCCGAGATAACCGTTAAAGCGAGAAAAGGGAAAACCGAAAGGGCGCTACAACCCTGTACAGGGTGTCCCATTAAAGATGGGAATTGGGGTTATCTGCTAAACTCGTAAAGGTAGATTTTTTTTGTTTCCACATTCCCGGGCCAATTTTTCATGACGAATCGAATGCCGCAAACCGCAGGTCTCTATCTTGTTTCGTTTTGGAGATACAGGGTGAAACTTGAAATGTTCACTTTTCGAGGGTAGTCATTATCTAGCGTATAAAAAAAGATATCAAAAAAGTGAAAATTGTATCTGACGCAGTTTTTTACGTAGATTTCATTGGCGTACTGGAATTTTTTTTCCGAAGTACCGCTTGAGAGATATGACACAAACTTCATCTTTTTTAAATGGGACACCCTGTAAATTTTTACATTTTTGGAATACACATAAAATTACCTTTCCGATGATATATAATTTGTCTATATTATGTTGTAACTTGCCAATATTATCATGGTATTTGAAACTTTCCATAAGAACCTTTGGAAATCGCATTGAATATGGTTTTATTTTCTGGTTCAATGTGTGAGAAACTTTTGATATGGGACTCCCTGTGAAATAATAGTTTATCGAGGACCGGTTTATTCATCTTCTGATGAACTCTCAGATATGCAATATGACGGATAAAAATTCAATCTGCAATCCCATTGAAATGAATAAACCGGGCCTAAGGTCATCATCATACAATAGGCGATGATTCGATACCGAGTATGATATTCTCCTATTGTTTTTAATGTCGTCAATTGTGCATTTTCTAATGGCTATTTATACCAATTTTGGAACCCCACACTCTTCCACAGTCTTGGCAAACCCAGCCTCTGGCAACATTGGTCTCTTCCTCTGCTCTCTCGCTCCTTCCTGCGGGCCCTCTTTTTGGTCTCGTGTCTGCGTCGCTGTTTTTCAAAAGTTTGTGGTCCGTCGTGGACTACTCGACGCCATTAAGGCCTATCATTTGCCGTCGTCTCTCAGATGCAATGACGGATAAAAACGCAATACCTATGTATTCCCATTGGTCCGCCAGTTATCTGCCGACCACTAGAATTATGGAATGGTAAATTTTCCTTGCAATTAGTTTCCAGCAAAGTTTATCTGAATAAGGCCCGGTTTATTCATCTTCAGATAAACTTACTAGTAACTATCTGCAAGATAAATTCACTGATCTATAATCCTATCGGTTGGCGGATAACTGACCGACCAATGGGATTACAGATTGCGTTTTTATCCGTTAGAGTGCATACCATACCTGACAGTCTATCAGAAAATAGATAAATTGGCCTTTAATCATATTTTTTTCCCATTTCAACGATATAGGTATTACACTTCGTTGGACACATAGCGATTGGTGGCATCGTGTAACGTGGGCTCGTGACAAACATGTGTCCAACGTTGGCCACACTCAACGTTCGAGCCAAAGTCGGTAAATTTGACCCGCTTCAAAAAAGGCTTCCAATGTTGGACAGAGGTTGGAGACACTGCCACACAAGGATTGACAGTCGTCCATTTTTTAGGTTAGATTCAGTGGCGCTACAAAAAAGTTTATTTTCCGATGCTTGTCCTGACTCGTGCTACTTTGAAACGAAACGGCACTGACAACGATACTCCAACCTTTGTTCTAATGTGGGAAGGAATGTTTGCCTCGTCGTGTAGCGGCACATTTGCCAAATGCTAGAGTGCCAAACATTGTATCCAACGTTGGATCTAACGTTGGGACCAATGGCTGGACACATCGTGTGGCGTCGGCTTAAGGCCAGTTCATTTATCGTTAGATAAACTCACTGGCAAGGTCCT